TATGTCCATAATTTCTAAATAGTCCCTAACCTATTGTTTCACCACTGTTGGCTGCTCACCTCCTTCCCAAACTGTGCTGCCAAGTGCAATAGTCTGGGTGGTTGACCCTACCTGTGAAGACTCAGGTGAAGAATGCAGTGAGCTTTTCCACATTTTCTGCATCCTTTGTCACAAGGTTACCTCCCTCATTCAGAAAGGGACCCACACTTTTCCTGATTCTCCTCTTGCTACTGACATACTTGTAAAAACCCTTCTTGTTACCCTTTATGTCCCTTGCTAGCTGCAACTCCAATTGCGCTTTAGCCTAGCTAGCCACGTCCAGATGGAGTGTGGATATTTGATTCACCAGAGACAGGTAGCAGTGGTACACCTTGTTCCACTGCTATTTGTACCCAGCAAACACCCATGCCACAGGCATGGGCAACCTTCCCTTACAGTATGGATAACATCTCAGTGTACGGTATGTGCGCTGCAGGTGTGCTTGCAGTACCACACACCACACGGCCATGCTCATCTGGACACGCCCCCTGACTTCATCCCTGCATGCCTGAGCAATCCTTTTATACTCCTCCCTAGTTATTTGTCCAAATTTCCACTTCTTATAAGCTTCCTTTTTGTGATTTAGTTTACTGAATAGTTCCCTGCTAAGCCAAGCTTGTCTTCTGTCATTCTTGCTAGTCTTCCTGTGTATTGGGATGGTTTGTTTCTGCACTCTCAGTAAGGCTCCTTTAAAGTACAGCCAGGTCACCTGCAATCCTCTTCCTCTTAGATGGCTTCCTAGGGGATCCAGCCCATGAGTTCCCTGAGTAAGTTGAAATCTGCTTTTCTGAAGTCCAGGTTCTGTACTCTGCTGCTCTCTATCCTTCCTTTCCTCAGGATCCTTAACTCAATCATCTCATGGTCACTGCTGCCCAAGTTGCCATTCACTACTACTTTTCCCACCAATTCTTCTGTTAGCAGCAGCTCTGGTTGGCTGCTTCAGCACTTTCACCAAGTAGTTGTCCCCAACACTCTCCAAAAAGTTCCTTGATTGCCTGCAATGCCAATCTATTGCCCTCTCAGCAGATGTCAGGGTGATTAAAGTTCCCCAGGACAACCAGGACCTGCAACTGGGAAACTTCTGCTAGTCATTTGAAGAAAGCCTCATCCACCACTGTCTCCTGGTCTGATGGTCTATAGCAAACACCCACTACAACATCACCCTTATTGCTCCCCCCTCTAACCTTAACTCAGAGACTTTCAACAGGCCTATCTCCAGTTTCATACTGCAGCTCTAAGCATGATTCTTTTACATAAAGTGAAACTCCTCCTCCTCTTCTCCCCTGCCTGTCCTTCCTAAACAGTTTTTACCAATCCATTACAGTGCTCCAGTCATGTGAGATATTCCACCAAGTCTCTGTTATTCCAATGACATCATAGTTCTGGGGCTGTGCAAGGACTTCCAATTCTTCCTTCTTGTTTCCCAAGCTATGTGCATTTGTGTGCAGACACCTGAGGTAACTATGACTGCCTTGATTTCTCAGGAAGCATGAGAACACCTCCCCAGTTGCCCACTCCCGTTTGTGGCAAACTTAGTTTAAAGTCCTCCTCACTAGGTTAGTGAGCCTGTCTACAAAGATGCTGTTCCCTCTCTTCATTGGGTGGATCCCATCTCTTCTCAGCAATTCTTCTTCTTGGAACAACACTCCATGGTCAAGGAAGCCACATCCCTGCTGATGACACTACCTGTGCAGCCAGGAATTGATCTGCAGGATACACCTGTTCCTGCCCAGACGGGTCAAAGATAACATGATCTGAAGTGCAGACCCCATTCACCCTGTACCCAGAGACCTGTAGTCACTTTTGATCCTCTCAGAGTCTCCCCTGGCAGTATCATTGGTGCTCACTCTTGCCCATTCTAAAGTTAGTTACCTCACCTGTGAAGTAAACTTTGGTTTGACCTGGGTTAACCCAGCCTAAAAATTGCCTGCATTTATTTACACCAGAGTCCTGGGTCTAGCAAAGCCCATTCAGCCTTCTCCATTCCCCAACTACTGCTCTGGACCTGCCACCCTCCCCACCCACAGATCTGCCAGCTCCCCTGGTCCCATAGCCCCTCCCCTTCACCTCCCAACTTACCTCCAGCAGCCTGGGTGAACACCTTTACACAGCAGAACATGACCCAGGTTTAGGCAGCACAAAGTAAGGCACCTAACCTCAGACAGGTTGTTTGAACACTTGTTCACACCCAGAGTAATCTATGGGACACTTGTAGTTTGAAAAATGGAGATCACAGACATGGTTCATTTTCTCCCCACTTTCAGATTACAAAGGTGACTTTTTAAAGAGACTTATACTGCAGTCTACTGGTCGATGCAAAACACAACAGCAGCACTGACTTCTATAGCTAATGCTAAGAATTTCTAAAAAAGCACAAAATAGGGGGAAAATCTTCATTCAGTAATATGAAATATATTGAGCACACATTCTTTGAATCCACTGTCCATTGTGTCCCAAGTGTTCTCAAGGAACATGTATTTTTGCTAAATGGCAATATGAAAGTCCTGCAGACTCCTGCCACACTAATTAATTCACCTGAAATATTTTCAACTGGAGCCACATTCACCTTTTCTAATAATTCTTTGTTTCTTTGTCAAATATTTTTTACCACAATCACAAACAGGGAGAAAATAATAAAGCACTGTATGACTAATGTTTCTCAGTTCACTTGAAACTATTAAGAAATAATAAAAGCCAAGATGAAGTGGCACTGATACAAAAGGGCTTTTGCCCTCACAGCAAAAACACAATAAGTAAAACTATTGAAGGCTTTTAGATTAGGAAAATTCATGTTTTCTATATTTCTGTGCTTCAGAATTTCAAGGACTTCCACAGTTCGTTTGTGGCAGAGTTTAAATCCAATTCATGAGGTTCCCTTCAAACGCAAACACTTTAAATGTTACAGAACATGAAATAACTTGTCCTGTCTTTGCCCATCTGTGGGAGAAGTATCACACCAGGAGTACAATGTAATGAAAATGGATATAATGATGAACCTGCACAAAGAGAACAATGACAGCCAATCCCAATGCGTCAATGACAAAGCCAAACTGAAAATTTCCTCACAGAAATGCCTTAGGACAGCCCTTCCTACATTTTGCTGACTGTCTTTTCCAGGCTCAGCCTCCCTATAGGCACACATTCCAGATCCATTACATCAATATTCTCCCCTTCTACCCAAGGATGAAGAGCATGTGGAAATAGGACTTTCTGGGAAGCTTACAGTTAAAAGGTTTAAAAACTTTATTTAACAAATGTTATGAGGCCTGCCAGTTTTCACAGTATTTCCTTCATTAGCCCTTTTGAATCAATGGCACTATTCCTTGACTCTGTGCAAAAAGGCAATCTATCAGAATGCATGAATAAGTCCAAGAAGAAGGGATAGCAAAATAGCTAACAGGGAAAGGTTTATCATAATAAAATCTGTTTTGAAAATCTTAAATGAAACCCTAAGGAGAATATTCAGGAAGAGAAAACTGCATTACTTGTTTCTTCTTTCCTGTTATTGCATTACTAAATAAGGACTTTTTTTTCCTGCAGTGAACTGTAGAGATCCACTTGCACAGAACTTTTTCTGCACAACTCTAGGGATCCACTTACACAGAATATGTTGCAAAACCCAGCAGTTTTTTAGTAATGAATTTCATCTGTGGATCACGTGAATCACAGAACCACAGAGTGCTTGTTGTTTTGGGGTTATCATGAGCAAATGCCATTCATGGTCCTTTAAGGGTCAGATCCAGATCAGTAAATTTCCTTTCTCCACTGTACTACAAAATATAGTCTCTTTGCCATGACAAACTACACCTATAGCAACAACAACATTTTAGGAATTTGTGCACTACTTCATAGTTTTCACAGACATTAGGGCTGGAAGGCACCTCAGAAAATCATTGAGTCCAGCCCCCTGCCCAAAGGGCAGGAAGTCAGCTGGGGTCATAGGATCCCAGCAAGATAAGCATCCAATCTACTCTTGAAGGTGTTCAATGTGGGTGCTTGAACCACCTCCGATGGCAGGCTGTTCCAGACCTTGGGAGCTCAGACAGTAAAGAAATTCTTCCTTATGTCCAGCCTGAAATGGTCTTGCAGTAGTTTATAACCATTC